GAGTGCTTTCTGTGGGCTGTGTGGTCATGCAAATTCAAGTTTTTCCTGCTGATAACCTCACACTAATTTTCTCATTTTATATCACGTCTCTCACTGCCTCCCTGTACCTTTTCCCACCATAACAGTTTGCTTACGGGCATTGAGGATGACCCTGCAGCAGAAATCAAATATTGTTTAGAATTCTGTGTGAGATTTTTCTCTTTGGCATTCAACCTTTTAGCCAGGGAGGTCTGTGAGAGACTGAATCAGTGGTCTTGAGAAAACAAATTGCTCTTTTCCTAAATTTCAAGTAAATTCATTATGGCTCTATGACTCATGTGGCTTTAATGGCCTTACTAGTTTATTTATTGGAGTGCCAAGAGGCAATTTATCTTGTTTACTTAGCTGTCTTGTCACATGTTTCAGACTTTAAAATAAGATTACATTCTTTTAAAATGCCTGTCTTTAAAAGGGCTATCGAATATGGAACTATCTATGAGATTATATCACCCCAAATTTCATACATCAAGCCTTTGCCATGTAACCACAGCATGAAACTGTGACAACACAGATCACAGCCTTGTTCAGTCTTTTTACATCAAATATGGCAATCTACAGGTTCTATCAAAATACACAGTGAGTGCTAAAAATCCTGAGCACCCTGAGAGACAGATGTTAGTGCAGACTCACTAAAACGTCAGAGATGTGAAAACACACATGCAACTTGTAAACTCAACATTAACACTTTTCATCAGGACACACTCTTACTCAAAATCTGGAAACAGCATCAAGCTTTTTTTTTTTTTGTTAATTTTTTTCTGCTTCTCAGCAGCAGTATGGTAGATCATCAGCTAAGCTACATAAATGAATGCAGCACAGCTGAGCCCAGTCACACCAGCAATCCCATAGAGCATTTCCATGCTCCTGAACAGTTTCTCATTCATTCTCACTTACCTTGAAATCTCTTACCTTTGTTGCCAAGTGTAGTTGCTTATTTCGCATCCCAGGTTTATCAGTCACAATAGTGATCATGTCACTATTTTACAGGGTTGAAGTATTTCAAAAATTTAGATTTATTCTGGCTTTCTCATAGTATATAAGGTGGCAAAACCAGGGGAAACCCATACCTGCATTGTTAACACTGTGACTTTAATCTGCCATTACAGTGGCTCTCTTCCACCATAAAAACAATAGCAGAGTATGAACGAGTGCTAATGCTCTAACATACTCTAAATATTAACGAAGAGGAGAAAAAAAATCTCAGATTTTCAATCTATTCAGGCCTTCAAATAGGTTTTGTTGCTTTCCCCCCACCACTAGAACCATATTATCTTTAGAGCCTTATCCTACTGCAGTGCACAGACTAAGGATTTTCTGTCTTTTCAGTGTCAAGGATTGCTTTATTTAAAATAAAAGCTCCTTTAAAAACACCCCAAAATATAAGAACACCAAAAGATTTAAAATGCACAATAATTTTCCAAAGCAAACCGGTTTAGATCTCTAGAGAGCTCATTCAGTTATTTCCACTGAAACGTGGTCAAAATATTCCAGTTCTAATATGGCACAGAAACTTCAAAAAGCATCTTGTTTTTACTGAATAAAATGCTTACAAGAATACAATCATAAAAAAAAATAAAACTTACCACAATTTAAATGTCACACATGGAAAAACCAGAGGTAGCTTTTAGAAGTACTCGAGTTGAACAGAATTTCAGAGTTTCTTTTTGGTCAGAGAAGCTTGTGTGTGGCATGAAGCTGCAAAGGAAACTGAACCACTGAAAATTCTAAAGGGTCTATTCTAAGACTCCTCTTTTGGGAAAGCTCTTACAAAGAGATCAATTTATATAATGGTTTTATTAACAGGCATTTAGAAAATATGGATGACTGTCATGCCTTAAAATCAATATTAGAATAAAAGCAATTTGCTAAACAACCTTTGTGATGGCTTAGTACAGCTTCCTTCTGGAAGCCTTTATCAGATATGCAACTTTTCCAGGTTTTTAATATGGTATAAACTACTAGAAATTAGGATAAATGCATGGAAACCAGAGCTTGCAGCCAGCACCCTCATGGACAAAGCTCACTGTGATTGCCTACTCTGTGTGAGGCAATATTCCTTGCTTGAGGCACACTCCAAGAGCAGTTCCTGGGGGCTGCAGACATGGCAAATCTGCTTCTTGGCAGCTCTCGTGAAACCCTGAGATAGGGATAAAAAGTGATGGGGCAGAACGAGAGAAGTTCTCACATCAGTTAAGTTTCACAAAAAATTGCAGTGTGACTGAATCACTTAATGCTGGCACAAGGTGATATTTTGTTCCCTTTTGATTTTCTTCTATACTTCCTTCCCTAATCTGTTTCTGCTCCTTCTTAATCTTTATTGCAAGGCATAAGCTCTGCTGAAATAAACAGTGGAAAATGTGAGGGAAAAAAAGAAAAAAATAGTCTAAAGGCTGAAATCTGCTGACTTTGGTTACTGTCATTCATACAAGACTTCAAATAAGTTCAGTCCATTCCAAAATCCACTTAAGGAGACTTAATCTGCAGGGTTTGTTATCCCCAACTATATAGAAATTAGATTCTTGGGAAATTTCTTAAACACAAAATTAAATTACGTATTCATATGTTTGGGAAGCTTTACCCCATGAATTTACATGAATTATATATTCACTCCACAAATCCCACTGCCTCTTCTACTGCCAGAAAGTGTTTTGGTCTGATGAATAAATAAATGTGCAGTTTCTTTAATCTATGCTGAATGCTGAAGTATCCCAGGAAGGCAGCATGTATTACAAATGTCAGGCTTTCCCTCAGACAAAACAGCCTCTCCCTTCTGAAATAACTGAACAAACACAGAGATTTGATATCCTGGTCTCCATTTATGACAACTGCTCACCAGTACTTTTCACCAGCTTACAGTGCAACTCATGCCTCAGTCTCTAATTCAGGATTTGTCTAAAAAAGAAAGGTGGGCAAAGCAGACTAATGAAGTGGCAAAGCTCACTTGCTGCCTTTTAGCTGAAGCTCACCCAACACTTACCAGCAGGCATTTTCAGTTGCATTTTAAAACATATGGGCAGTTAGTCTGAGGGATTTTTTATGTGTGACTTCTGCATCCTCTAATTTTAAAAAGCAACAACAAAACCCCAAAGTGTGAAAATAAGGAAAGTGAGAGATTGCCTGCAATTCTTAACACATCTCTTGTCTTAAGAGGGTGTCCAAAGGGTGACAATCTCTAGTGACAAATGAGATACTGTGCAAACAGGAGCTCTGTGTGTTTAAGCAGAGATTTCTCAGGCAGTGACAGTCTCCTCCTTTGCAGAAGGGACTCTTTTTGTGAAGCAGAGCTGCTTGGTGAGAATGAGACCATGCTTAGTTCCACCAATTGAAAATTAATCATCATAATGAAGTCTCAGAGCCAGCCCCATTCCTTGGCACATTCAATCACCTCTGGGATTACACAACCACGCTTCTGCAAGTGTGAGAATTCCTCCTTCTTTTCTTCCTTTCCATCTGTGATGCCAGAATGGAATATAATTCCTTTCACCACATGAAGGATTTGGTCTTTACCAATTTGATCAATGTTATGTTTAGAACAAATCCCATCTGTCACATGGAAGGGCAAGAGCCACTTGCAGACCCATTGGAAGTAAAGATGAGTTAGGCCAAGAAGATCCTGCAATGATGCTCAGTGATTTATCAAAGGTTAAAAAAAGAAAACACAAACTCACCATATTTCAGCTGTTTGACTTCAGAATTCAAACCTAAGCAGATAATTTACTCAGGTATACCATAATAGGCAGGTAAGAAGAAAAAATAGTTCATATCATAGGAAAAAAAGGAACATAAAGCAAGGACTCCTGTTTCTAGGTGTTAATAGAGCTTGGTATGACAGGCCAGGCCAGTTGCTGGGCAGTCAAGTGGAACCAAAATCTACTATTACATGTCCAGAAGTGATACAATCAGTTAGCATGGTCAGCAGAGTGATCACAGTTTAAAGAAAGAAAAAAATAGAAATGGAAAGAAAAGGCATTCAAAAGAAAGAAAAAAGTGTCGACAAAACAGACAGCATGAAGCTGCACTGGTATTTTATTTTTGTTGCAAGGCAAATTTACAAGTCAGAAAAAGTCTTGTTGCTGATTCATTGCACCATACACGTAACCTGCTAGGTGGTGGTACTCTCTCTCAACAAGACAACTTCTACAACCAACACTGTGCTGTGAGCAGCAGCAGCATCCCACTCACTCTGACCAGAGCACGAGTGATTGCTCAGGCTCCTCTGACTGCTCCCAGCCAGGTATTTTCCAAGCAGCAGTGAGAAGATGTGGCACAAGGTGCTGTTGCTCTGCCTGTGAGAGAACACTGACAGCAGTAGAGAGGGACAGCTCATGTCGCACATGCAGCCCACAGGAGATGATGACATGTGCTCCTTTCCCACCAGCACCCAGCCCCAGGGATGTTCAAGCCCCATCCCCACAAATCCAAGTGCTCAGATGGGTTTTGAGCATCAGTTTGGAGGGAAGTTTTACAAGGGAAGAAATTACCAGATGGTTTAAGATCACTTTTCTCAAAAGCACGGCACCATCTGCAGCAGCCTGTCCCATTAACACACCTGGGTTATAGAGATTGCTTTCTAAGGCTCAGGAAAACTTCCATTATATCCTTCCCTCCTTAAATAGTCAGTCAGCAGCCAAGTACATTGAGCAGAGAAATACAGGGAGAAAAAAAGCAAAAAGAAGAGTCAATTAAATCCAGGAAGCACTGCAGAGAGAGTTACTCCCTAATTGTCAGTATTATACAGCTGCATATAGAACACGATTTTTCTCTGCTGATTGCAGATTAGCCCAAATTCAGAAATAAAAGGGATTGGAGTCATTCTACCCTGTCTGAGATCAGATCCTTCCCAAAGGTGACTTTTGACCCATTCCAGCACTAAACCCTCCTTTGTGGCAGGTCCAGCTCAATATTTAAGCACCTCCCCACCCTACCTTCCAACTAGGCATTTTAAGTGAATGAACACTGTGTTCTAGGATGCAATTTATTTAAAAACATTTATTTTAGGCAAAATTAAACAGACATTTGAGATTACATAGAAATACAGTTTCCAATTGGATCACATAAAAATTAAAAATGCACTGTTGTGTTGATTTAAGTATTTTTGTACGTATTGACCAGGTATATAAGATTTAACCATGCCATTTGCAGTCAACTATCATAAAAATCAGTAACGAAAAAGGTTTCTTAAAATGTGCAAATATTATCTTAGTGTTACCGTTGATAATAAATGACCACTAAATAGATGCTTATTATGTAAAGCTTTTTAAAGTACAATAAAAATACAAATTCTATTTGTTAAAAAAGGCCATTGCTATGGCTACTAAACATCCTCATTATACAAATTCGAAAATACTATATGACAAACAAAATTATAAAGACTTTTCTTTATGAAACATATACTATTCTATTTGTTAGTGATTTCATATATTTTTTTATATATATTTCTCTATAATACTCTATATGAATGATGAAACTCAGAATTAGAGGGGAAGCCAAATGTAATGTAGGATGTTAAGGCCCCAGTTCAGCAAGGTACCTGAGGATGTGTCAAACCCCACAAAGGAATAATCCCATTCTTTTAGTGGCCTCCAAAGGTACATGCACAAGTACTTTGTTGAACAAGGCATGAAAATGCACGTGATGAAATTGAAAAAAATGTGGTTTTGGTGTAAACTGTGACTGGTAAAGATAAAACCATAAGTATCACCAAAAGATCTCTCATTAAAAAAAAAAAAATCTGAAAATTTGGGGGTGAGGGTTCCACATCTGTATGTTTTGAAGAGAAAATTCTGAGATAGGTTCAAGATGGTGTTTTATTGCTTATGAGAAAGATTAATGAAGAGTATGCATAGACATGTCAGCATTAATTTCACCAGCAGCTGAGAATTTTGGTATGCAGGTGTTTCTGTAACATGAACAACCAGTGGGCACAAAGGACTTACTCACAGTCAGTTCTTTGCAGAAAGCCTCAAAATTAAAGACATGGAACACTGAAGAAGAGAGTAAAAGAATTATACTCAACAGAGCCTGGCTGTGAACACTCAGGTGTTGAAAGTAATTACAGAACTGAGCCCAGCACCTGCTTATACACAAAATTACATAAATTCCTAAATAAATGCAAAACCATAATCTTCCTTTTAAGTTATGGCCAGCATGTAATGGATTCCAAGGTACATACTTTACACTTCAGCTATAAAATATCAAAACAAAGGGCAGTTGCTTTGCCATTCTGCAATTTAGCAGTTCTTCTAGGCTCATTAAGCACTAATTAGCAGACTATCAACATGTTAGTTTCTAAAACATGAATGAAGGACCTAAAATCTGGATTGTATGAACCAATGACAACATATGTACAGGATAGAAACCACACAGAGTGATGGAAATCAATCACACTGCATCCAGATTTACTTTTGAAGCATATAGCAATGGTTAGTATTTTACGCTTTTTTCACTGCAAATTGATTTTTTTGTAGTAGATATTAATAATTTTCCTGCTTGAATATTAAATAATGCCTTAAAAGCATAATTTCAAAATGCTGCCAGGTAAAGCATTATGTAGAATTCATGCCTGCACATTTGCAGAGAAAGACAGAGAGAGAGAGAGAGAGAGAGAGAGAGGTATGTGTGACCTTTCTGAAGAACTTCTCCAAGCTAATACTCATAAAGCATAATAAACTTGGGCCAAAATGTGACAGAAAGAAACACAACAGCGTAATTTAATCCATAATTCATAAACAAATACAACTTTTTACATTTATACAGGGAAAGACTGGAAGGAAGTTGGATTTTTACAGAAGCAAGCCTCACAAGAGTTTACATGTTGAAAAAAGCAATTTTTGGCACATGGATAGTATCGGTGAGTACATGGTCAGAAATAAAAAAAAACCCACTGCAGAGGAATTTCATATTGACTTTCTTGGCATCAGCACCTGCTGTCTAGTGGGTCAAGACAAAATACTGTGCCTTCAAGAGTTAATCCCATTTTGAACCCCTCCTGCAATGAAATAAGACATTGTTAGTAAAGAGCCAAGTGAGCCCTGAAGGATTACACTCTCCTGGTAAAAACATTTAAATCCAAGCATATCTTTAGGCAGACAAACTGCAAGGATATTTCAGCCTGAATTCAGAAACATTTACATTGTTTGGTCAGTCATTTTTTAATAACTCCCAGCGCTTAACTCATAAAGATGTACACCATACAACAGCATAGCTACAGTATTGTACATAAAGTGAAGAAAATACTCTAGAATAACAATATTGAATATTCTTGTATGTAGGATGACAGAAATCCAAACAAGTTTGACTTGCACCATGTTGTTCATGAGAAAAATTCGAGATTTATGTTGAAAAACACAGGTGTGACATGGACACTGTTACTGACACAAGGTGTCTCCTACATTCTGTGTTGCCCTAAGAGCAGCCCAACACAAAGTGCTGACTACCCCACCTCAGAGGGCTGCTCTGAATTGCTCCCAGTGCAGTCAAATTGACAGGACTTTTCTGCCCACTGCCATCTGAGCTTCATGACAAAGGCAAATAAAATCACACTTGCTCTACTGCAGATGAAAAAACTTTGCATTTTAAAGGCATGTAACTCAGCAAAATAAAACACAGCAGTACTTTGAAAGTGCAACGAGTTACTTTAAAAGTTCAGACCAAAAAATCTTGAGTTTACTCACATTAATTTTATTAGTAGAAACACAGAAAAGATTATAAGCTGGATGCTATCACCTCCTCTATGGAAAAGAAATTAATTCTACAAATACTTTTTTTTAATAGGCTTTTATACATCCTTGGCTTACTAAAAGTACTTAGTTTACACCAGTCCTAAAGTAACAGCTGCACTTTTAATACAGGAAAAAACACTCTTATTTTTATTTCTCTTTTTGCATTAAAAGAAGCTGAATAATTGTGGATTGACCCTGAAGTCAGCTAGGAGTCAGGAAAATTGCAGTCTGTTGGGTGAAAGCATATTGAAGGTTTAAGCAATTGGAAACGGGGCTCTGACTAGAAATGCCATGAGAATATCAACTCCAGTGGCAGCTGTCACAGTCCTCTGTTCAGGGAGAGAGTGCTGACTGTGTGCTGTGAAATCAATAACAGAGCCTTTCATCAAGAAAATATCTTGTAAACAAAGATAAATCTTTTTGTAAAACCATCTGTATGGGGATTAGGCACAAACTCAAGTCTTTTCCTCACATGCACAGCAGTTCTTCGAGACCATACCTTTTGGGTTTAGAAGATAAATCCCATGCCAAACCAGCTTAATTTCAAACAAATTCAAATCACAGGCTAACACTTGAGAAGTGTATGAATATCTAATAACCCTCCCAGCTACTGCTACCAGCAGAATAATGTGGAGAAACAGAACAAACCTCCTGGCAATAGTCACTAAATGCTCTGAGAATTTCCAAGTAAAAGCTGCATTTTCCTAAAGGCAGACCCATACCATGAGATGCTGAGCAAGTAGCAGCACTGTGGTGTAAACATTCCCCAAATGTGCTACCCAGTTTGCTCTACCTGGGTGACACAGTGCTACCAATGCTCACTAGTGTATTTAAGATTTTTTTTTCCCCCTCTGTATTTTCCAAAGGATTAAAAGGATGAACATTCAATGTAGAAGATATTTCAAGTGAAACACATCCTTTTACAAACAGACAGTGTTCATTTACCCAAAGGGTAAATTAATTGATGTAACTGCAGTCAAAGGAGGACTGCTTATCGAGGAGAATTCAGAGAATTAGCCTTAGGGTCTAATCTGCTACATTTTAAACCCTGCAGTTACAGTGTGCCTAGGATGCTCAACTTCTGAAATATCTGAAGGCTGCATCCAGTTTTGAGCTTGTAAAGGGATGCAGCAACAAGGGATTGTTGTTGGTCCTTCAACCTGAGGATCCTTGATGAGCTCCAGTAGCAGAACATCACCAACAACTGCTCTGACAAGGACAGAGACCTTCATCCTGAGCCACCCAGAGCCTTCACTGAACATCCATCCCGTTCCTGTCTGGCCCACTCTTATTTTTATCTTATTTTTACAGTTAAACAGAGTTTGTTGGTGTCTTAAGTAGCTTCACTTCCAATGCCCTTTTTCCAGCAAGCAAAGAGCAAATTAGATGATGCATTGTGGAAGTACACTCATCTCACTGCTCTTATGTTGAGCATGAAAAGCTTTTTCCACATAAAGTGATATTTTGTGACTTGGCACTTTGCTTGTGTTTGCTATGTCTTGACTTAAAACTATTTCCACTTTCTTGAAGAACTGTGGCCTCCTTGACCTTTCCTTCTGCAGCTTCACTCCAGCCACTTCCCCACACTTCTGTTTAGTCCTTTTCAAGCCGTGCTATTTTGCATTTAAAGCAATTACATTTCCACATATTTGCTATGTGATCAACGCTAATCTGTTCAGAGATTGCTGCCTTTTATGGATCATAATTATTAAAAAAGCTTTATAACTTTTTTACCAAAATAAACTATCATCTGTGCTAAAAGAAATCAGTGCTGTGGTTGCCAGCTGCTGTTCCCAGTTGCACTCCTGAGAACAATGGCTCATGCACATTCCTGTCTGTAACAGGGACATGGCATTTCCATGGTCACTTCTGAGCCACAACAAACCCACCACCATCAATGTCAGACTCTGCAGCTCCAAGAAGGCTCAAAGTTCCATGAGAACCACAAGGTGAAAAAGCCCAATGGCACAGAGAGGACATCCAAACAATCCAGGTGGCTAGCTGGGCATTCCTTTCATTAAAGGAATGTAAAATCTAGATTTTTTTCCTCTTGGATATTTAAATGGAGGACATGAAGTCAGTAGGAACATAAACAAAGGAAAGCTGCATTGTCTAAATCAATATTCCTAAAAATAATTGCAATCCTCAGAAGGGAAAAAAATTAACCAGAATATGTCCATTGAGCAGACACCCTGGCAAAGTGATGGCAATTTCCAAAGATGAGGAAGGCACAGACTTCAGATCTCCCACAGCCATCACTATTCCTAACCCCTCAGGTTCAGCAACATAACTCCAAATTCTTAATTTTTGGCATATCTGGCAAACACATAATTAAAAAATCCAATCAGCTGCAGTCAAGTCAGCCATGGGAAGGCTTCAGGAGCAGATTGTCCTTTCCATGCAGAGTAGAACCGTTGTTAAATCAGGTAACAGTTCTCACAGTGGTGCAGAACACTCAGTACCACATGTGCTTTTAGGACTGCAGTTCATATCTGAGCTGCACAGGGTTCCCCAAAGCAGGGAAAGCTGCTCTCTGATCATTACAGAACAGCACATGCCACCTTTTAACTCAGCATCCACAGCTGTAATAGTAATGAAATCAGTTGCAATGATGCAGATCAGAAATAATGAATTTTTTTTCCCCTAATAAACTTGACCAATGTGTTAGGCAATTCTTTTTAATGACATACAGAGTCAGCTTCTTGGTAAACATTATAGTTCATATATATAAAAAATGGATCACTAATTTCAAAGCACAGCATTAAAGTATTTTGCCTTGTGAAATTCAGACCCTTCAGCTTCTAGTAATGTGTGTTCTTAGTGTAACTCTGCCTGTTCATTAAAAAACACGTATGATATATATGGCTTCCTGTACTTTAAAGAGTCAGGAAACAGAAAAGCTTCATGCAGTTAAAAAAAAATCTCTCTGATTTGCTGATTTTCAGGGAATGCTGAAAAAGGCCATCCCATGGCACTGGCCAGGAGAGGGAACAAGAAGGGCTATGAAGTGTGCATCTACATTATGCCTTGTTTTCCTGCTCAAGGAGCTTTTTTACTTTAGAGGCATTTTAACACAAGGACAGAGCAGTTTAGGGATGTGATTGATGCCTCAAAGAGAGGAGCAAAGCTTGTTTTCACTCAAAACAGCTCAGAAACCATCCCTGTTCCAACACCAGCCTTTTTTTGGTGTGAAGGATAAAAAGATGTGAGCTATTCTGGCTGAAACCAGTAAGCAGTACAAGACAAAGAACTTGCACTTTATCAGGAGAAAAATTTGCCAGAGTCAAGCTTATGGCTCAGAAGTTAACTCACTTATCACTTCACAGTGACTTCACTCAATGAGCTTAAGTCAGCACAAACCCAACGAAGCAATGACAAATTTACATACCTCTGAGAAAAGTATTTAGAAGGCTGAGTGTAACTTATTTTAGATGGAAAGATGTCAAACCTACTGATTTGCTTCAGGGCATGCAGGGAGAATGGCTTGCAGCTCCTGGAAGCTTTCTGATATTAACTACCTTGAGATTTTAATAAATTAGAGCAGCTGCTGCTGGTGTGATTCATGATCCAGGGAAACTTCTCCTCACTGCAAGATTTCTGGGAAAGTAGACATTCATTTTATTAATGTCTGGATACAGTCAAAATAAAGATGAAAATATGTTTCAGCATAAGGGTGCAGGGAAACAGGAGGTTGGACAGTCATCAGAGAGAGGCCTGAGCTGTAAAAGTCACATCTCAGCACATGTTCGAATTTTAAGCTCTCCAAAAAGATCAACAGAGATTGGACTGAGAAGTGGAATAGAAAGCTTAACTGTGAAATTTGGATCCTCCACTGAAGTTTAAAAATAAGAGCGTTCCCCTAGAGGCCAGGGAAATTTATCTGATCTCATTAAGTTCAGAATGGAGGATGCAAAGGAAAAGCACCCTCTACTCAAGAGTTTATTCTCCAGTGCCTCTTCTGTGCTGTGCTCTCCTCTCCCACTTTGGTCCCAAATCACCTCCAGCACAAGCCTAGATGAGGACAGCTTTTCTGCACAGCTTTTCTGGGTGTGTGTGCTGTGCTCACATGTTCCACACAAAGAAAAAGGGTAAGAGAGCCTGGACAGGGCTGCTCCAATCAGGCTGGCACAGCTTTGCTTGCCATCCTCACGGCAGGGTGAGCTGTATTCAACACCCCCGGGGCAGAAGTTTATGCTTGGAATGATTTGCTAGGTGTCTAAAAAACTTACCTTTACAGATTTAATGGAATACACAATTACTGAAACCCATCTATACCTCCACAATGCAAAAATGACAGATTCATTGACTTTGCATTTCAGAAAAGAAGAGAGGCTCACATTTCTCTTCCATGTTTCTCATTGTTGGATTTCCAGAGCATGTCACAAGTTCTGTGCTCTCACCTGCTGTTCAGACTAGCACAGCTGCTTCTGCTCTTTGAAAAGTTCTGAATCATTATGCCCAAACAAAGACTTGCTCCCCAAAGTGATTGTACTAACACAATCTCTGTACTAAAGGTTTCACTAGTGACAATCTGATAATGACAACTGGAGATTTCACAAGTACACATGGAAAACAAACAGCAGTGAAAACAAAGGCTCAGTATTAGCACCTGACAAGACAGAGTAAAGAAAATGACCATCAGCTGTCCCTAACTTAGAGATTGTAGGCCCCTAAAAATAAAAATGGCCCTTACTCAGAGTTCTATATACAAAACATAAATATTAAAATTTTTATATACATAAACAAATACACATAAAAATAGAAACACAGGACAAACACATGCACATTTCAATTGTAAATGCTTTAAATACCATTATTAAAATATGATATACCAACCATCGCTGACGCTGTGCACCCAGGAAAGCACAAGAAGATAAAAGAGACATTAGGAAAAACACGTTTCAATCTGTACTTTGCACCAACCACACAGTAAAATAACTGCACACAGTCTTTGCTTTGTCTCAAGTTAGAATATGGGGGTTTTTAATACCCTTTCAGCTGTACCCTTGCTCTCAGCTGGATCATACATGACAAGTTTTGTGCCAACATAAAGGCTCACTAATTAATTTTTAGTAAATAGGTGATATGCAAGGGGGGAGTGCCTTTCTTTGCAACAGGACAAGGTAACACCCTAATGCTTGGAGTTTTTGTTATTGATTAGTTGTCTCCTTTTTTTTAGATCAAGAGAGTATAAACAATGATGGGAGATTTTCATTTCCTGAGTTCAAACATCTTGGATAAAGACATTTACTACTCCATTCTCTGATGCTTTATGAGGTGACAGCACTCTGTAGTGTTATAGGCAAACAATTCCAAATATTGTCAAAACATTACCTGTAATAGGAACTCTTAATATGTGACATTTAAATATTGACATATCATTATTAGTGGTAACCACAGTTGCTACAATTTATTTTTCCTAAAACAATGGAAATGTTGGTAATATATCAATGGGAGGTGCTGTAAGATTTGAGGTTTGTGTTCAAGGGCTTGGTAACAACATTATAGCATTCACAAAACATAAGCATGCTGTTGGAATTGGAAAAGGAGAGTTTTGGCTTTTAGCTGCTCTTGGAAATTATATGGGGGACCAAGAAGGCTAAATTTGTAACTTCTCTGTAACTTTTCTTCATCAGTGGAACCATCCTGAACTGACATGGAAAAGAAAAAGTACTCAGGAAAATGAAATGGTATTTAAATCTTATTTAAGCCATTTAAAAAAGCCTCTGCTGCTCTCTAGGCAGGAGAGAGGAACAGATGGAGCCCGAGAGCAAATTCTCTTGGACTTTGTGGGCTCCCAAGGGACAAGAGGGCTGGAAGCCCTGGGAATGCTTTCTGCTGTGGAGCCAGGATCCTAGAAATTCAAGTTTCCATTATTTCCTGCCTTTTCTTTTGCTGGCAGGCTGCTTAAAAAAAATGGAGATAAGCAAGCTGGCAAGGAACTAGTTTTGAAAGTCTTGCTGCAGAGCATCATTTGTTCCAAAACTCGAGGACTTTCTCCTAGAATTGTTTCACAATTGGGTCAATAACTGAATGGCCAATGTCGAGCGTTTCAGAATCAACAAACATTTTCTGATAAAACCACAACAGTTCAGAATTCTTGAATCAATTCTCAAGAATTTAATTGCCCCAGGGTGCCATAGAGCTGTTTTTAAAGGCAGCAGAAAATTCCCATGGCCCTGGAAGCACCTAAGTCTGCCTGATGCTGTGAGAAACCAAAGTGATGGCACTGAGGGAAACAGGAGGGTACACTGGGATGGGGGAGATTGCTTCAGTTGAAGATCAAGGGATCTGGGGGCCTCTTGGCTCTGCTCTCTTTTTCAGCTCTCTCAGTCCCTTCCCATGTAATGGTTCCCAAACCATTTTAGTTACACTGCTGAGAAACCCTTCATCAGTGTAGCTGACTAATTGTAATGGTAGTATTGGTACCAGGTGGGGATCTTGAGGCAAACTCCAACTCCAGCTCAAAGACAGTAGAAAAACTTACAAAAGGAATGGTCAGAAATAGGAGTTTGTCTGTGCATTGGTGTGTGCATTATGGAACAGATTTTCAGAATACAATAAGCATGTATCTCAAGAATAGGCACACAGCCATCAAAACCCATGTAAATCAGTAGTTACCTGCATCTCATCTAGTTTGGACTGAATGTCTGGAGGGAAATCTCCTGCTCCACAGCTAAAAGGGTCAAAAGGTTCTGCTCCAAAAAGGTCTCTCTCTGCAACAACAGAAAAGCGAGTCACTGGGAGAACAGGTATGGGCTCTGACAACAGGGCTTTGAAAAAGCCAACTTACATCTTCTGAGCTGAGTAACAGCACCACCACATACATCACTCATTAGCCACAGCTTTTAACATCCCAATTTGCAAGCCAGGTCTTGGGCAGTTTTCCAAACTTTAATACTCAAATATTTTTCCATGAACACCACTGAACTTCCTTTAATGCTTGTGCCTTTTAGAGATCTGATGAGAAGTTGTTGCTATTTCAAGAGGGCATCATATACTCACCTGTGCTCTGCAGTCTGTGTGTATAAGGAGTTTTAAAAATGAATAGGAGGGAACTGGATATGAAATTACCAAATTTAATCTCTACATTATGTCAACAACAAATTACCAACCAACTAGTCTTCGTGTCCCCTGTCTGCCACTCCTCAGACCAAGGATGTTTTTGTGAGACAAGCGAACACTCCTACTCAGGCAAGGCAAGGCCTTGGTTTGATACAGCTCCTCAATGAACAACTAGCAGTAATTGAAATTAAAAATCATCATTCGTAAAATCTTGGATAAATCACATCAAGGAAAGAAAAAATTAAACAACTCCAAAACTACAACAGAACTGTGAATTGTCACTTACGCTAAAATTCCACTGGTGCATAAATAGAATGATTGCAAATTTCCCTTTCCAATATCAAAAGTTCCTCACTTTTTCTTAAGTGCAGTTTGCATTCTAGTGGTCAAAGGGATGATTTTTTTTGTCTGGGCCAGAATAAACATCTCCAATACAACTGGGTTCTTTTTTCATATTAGACTGGTATAGTCCTTCTTATATGCCTGCTCAAATATTTTTTTGGTTTTCAGGTTTAGGGTAGTTTTTCCTCCTTCTTAGTAGTAAATTTTTCTTTCCTACAGTTAAAGGTTCCATCTCTAGACACTTTTTCCATCTCACATTGGATTAAACCACAGCAGTAAAAAAAATAATTTTGCTAACCCAACCCCACTGACTGGAGAATTTACAGAACCAAGATTCTACAGCCTTGTTATTGGTGGAGAGAAAACCAGAACCATTAGGAAATATCCTCTCTCCTAACTTTCACGGCTGCCTAGCAAGAAACCTGAGAAGCATTCTACCTGCCCCAAAACAATTTTAGTTATGGAGTAAGGGGGGCAATAGTAACCCTGAAGTGACTGGACAGTTAAGCACAAAATTCACCCTTAACACCTGAGGTCTGGGTGACAATTAACTGCTGCACCCAACCCCAGCCCTATTATCAGTGGTGCAGCTCTTGCCTACAGCAGCACAGATGGCTTGATTTTGGCATCCTTAGAGGCAGAATTTTACACCTCTGTTCTCCAGGTTCTTCAACAGTTATTGTACACATCAGTCTGCCAGGCTTTACCCTTATCAATTAGGTGTTATCAGGCTGCACACCAGGCATGTTAAATAACTGGCAACTACCATCATTTGCTCCCACAATAAAGTGCAGAAATTCCCATCGTAAAGTACAGAAACTTGAGCAGAACTTGATTGATTACATATTTCAAAAACTGTGGCTAAACAGCTACAAACTGTCACATGGGACCAGGAGATGGCCCAGATAAGAGAGCCTTATTCCAAGAGCTCATATGAGCCAAGAAGAAATCCAGTCTTTCCTGGCAAAGGCAGACCACCTGCGTGCAAGAGAGACTTTCACTCGGATAATCTAATGTAGAAATTAGGTTCTCCCTCGTCCTTTTCCTCTTTCACAGCCAAAATGGGTCTGCTCCAGTATAACCAGTGTCCTGAAATGCTCTGATGCTTCTAACAAATAACCTTCAGATGTGTAGCAGCTTTGACTTGCAATCTAACCTCTACTGGGCACAAAAGTGATTCTACTTTATAACCCTCCATAGCCTGTGGTTCATGATATAGGTCCACTTTCTTTATTTTTGCCTTTAAAATAAGCTGACAGCTTTCTCTATGGTCAGACAATTGAAATCAAACACCAAGACTTAGCAAACATTCTATGAATGTATTTAGGAAAATAGGTGAAGGACAAAACTCCTGCATTTAATTTGTACTGAATTATCAATTATGACTATTTTTAAAAGCAAGTATTTTATACACTATTATGGCTATTTCTCATTCATGCCTTATCATTGGCCTTTTATTAATGAAAGCACTTTCGAGCTCATTAGCAGGAGAACAGCAGAGGTTTTAACTCCTTTAATGTCATTCCTTCCTTTGTGAAAGATTTCTGAATTAATACTGTATACAAGGCAGAATTTAGAACCAACCCGAGTGTGACTTATTCCAAGTGACAGAGCCTATAAACCCTGCACAGAATCATATTTAAAATAAAGAAGCATTACCTAGTTGAGTTTCTGTGGAAAGCTCTTACTTGGGGAACTATCTCTGTCATAACTTGCTATCCATTTCAGCTGAACAAGTCCACAAAACAACTGCTTTTCTGTATTTCCAGTCTGTGTGTTATAGGAGAGACTGCACTACTAAGAGTCAAGGAGGGACAAAGTTCCATGGAATATTTTCAATAGCACTGTTGATATGTGCCTTGGGAAGCTGAAGAACGTGTGTAAAATGGAGAAATATGAAGATTTCATCCCTGCAGAGCTGCACTATTGCATGGGAGATCCATAAGCTTATCCACCAGTGTTCACTCCACTCAGGATGGCGGGTGGGATAAATTGGTAACTTTTTATTTCAGGCCAGAATATTTGCATGGAAATTAGCTATAACAAGAATATCTTGCCTGGCACACCCCCCAATATTACTGTAGCAAGGATAGGCATTTCTTTCTCCAATAAACAGCAACCAGGAAGCCTTTGAAAATGATTCTTTCAAATGGTACAAATAATTTCCTTTCCCATTCCTTTCTGGATGGAAATAAATTCAGAGGCTGCAAAATTGATCCACAAATTCAAAAGCCATGAAATGTTGATGTTTTAGATCCTCAGCTCAAACCACAGGATAATATGAACAAGTAATAAATTCTGGGACCTGACATTCAGGAGAACAAACACATAATACTGGAGAAGAGCAACCTGCACTCTATGATAAATTCAAAATGAGCAATTACTAAGCAAAAATACAAATATTTGCCTGTTCTGCTGCACTTGACATCCCAATCTCTACCTCAGCTCTCGTCCAGGCTCACAGCTATGCTGATATATGCTTTGCCCAGATGGAGCAGCTGTGATTACAAAAATGAATCACACTGAGAGACAAGCACCCAAAGAAATATTTGGAATAAACTGAGACCAGGAAATTCAAAAAGCCTTTCCTTTAGCTGCAGGCTACTCCATATTTTTTTTTCTTTGGAAATTATTGCAGCCATTATTCTGAGAAAATACTCTTAAATATGTGCAGAAAAGAGCACCTTGGAGCAGATTTCTGCATCTGCAATTTGTGACCTTGGATCATTTATGATGTATTTGTGAGAAATAAATATTGAACAACTCAATAGAGAATAATCCTCTCCAGTTCTTTTCTGAGATATGAAACTAATCCCGTGCCAACAAGAAACACTAGTTAATTCCTCTTTTAATGAAATAAAATTAATAAATTATTTCTTACCATTCGGATAACTTATGAGAACATTCACAACCCCTTACTCCATGAGGAAGAAGCTGCATGCAATCCCTAGCATTGCATTTTTGGTTGCATTTCACTATGTTGCAATTATTACCTGAAGAGTCAGCATGCATTTATCCAATCTGCAACCTCTTGGACAAAAATTATGCCATTTTCTCCTTTAAACAGGCAAACCTGATTTATTTGCTATTGCTGATACAGCCAGTAGTGAGCAGAGATTTATTGAGTAGCCCTGCAGGAACACTGCTGAATCTGAACTCAAAATCTCAAGATTTAATTCATTTTTAAAAGCTTAAATGCCTTGGAAATATCTGTCTTTCAAAAAAAAAAAAAAAAAAAAATCACTGTTGCTTCTCTCTAGTATCAAAAGGCTGGGTATCTTAAACTATATGATCACCCTGTACTTTCACCAAAAAACTCTGCTTGAGTGCAGTGACAAAGAAAGGAGAGGTAGGAAGAGGAAAAGATGATCTCAGAAAATGGAGACTCCAAACTTGGGCTCCTCTTGGTTGCCAGCCCTCTGACTTGTACTGGAGAAAGAAATGCCAGCTTGCTGTGCCACCACAGAGCAATGCATTATTGCACATTGTCACAGTAATGGGACACTGCACAGCCTATGGGAGCTGAACTTCCTCATCTGGGACAGCAAAACCTTTGTTTGATGATAGAATATTCCTCTCCTGTTTCGATGACACTGAATTATTCCAAAAAGCATTAATAGCTGATGAACACGGTAATTATCACTGTTAATAAGCAACTGTGGTTTTTTTAATATTAAAAAACTCACTGCCTAAACAATTACAAATCCCATATAGCTGGAATTTTCAAGATCCTTCAAGACTGAGTGCTGACTCCCACAAGATTTCTATCGAACTGAGCAACAATTTCAATAGAATTGAGGTAGGACAATAGGTAAAACAATAAAATCTTGACCTATAATTCAATTCAATTCCGTTACATTCTCGAAGCTGTATATGCACATTTAGATCTATTTTATGGTATTGCCTGTAGTTTCAGAGAAGCAATCTTACAGTCATTTAATACAAAACCATAACATTTTGTCAATAAAGCAGTTCTATTCTAATATTCTACTAGAATATTCTAATATTCTTTTAAATTATATGAAAACAGTCAATACTGACTATACTTGACAGATATAAAATTCTGTTAGTATACCTTCTGAGAATCCCACAGAAGTTCATTAATTATTTTAAATATTCTCTTTTAAAAAAGCAGGGCTCTTTATTGAATTAAGTGTCTCAACATTTACTTTCTCTTCAGAAGGTGACAAAAATTCTGAGCATTGGAACCAAACAGTGCACCAGATATGGGCTTGGGGATGGAAGACATTCACTGACTGAAGCTATAAAATGCATTTTTTTGTTTGTGCACAGCTCCCATTCACAGCTGAAAATCCTACATCCTAGAGACAGGCCCCCAAACAGCACAATCTCCTCAAATATGTTCCATATGGTGGCAGGCAGTAATATGAATGTCCCTTTTCCACTCTAAAAAAGCCATCAGGAACAGAAGATACAAACAGGCTGGTATTCCAAAACCTATAATATGACTTGTTCATGCCCCACTTTCCACTCCCTCGAGGGATTTCCAAAGCTTTTAAAAGATTTTCTGGACTCCAAAAAGATTTCCAGTGAAGCCAAAAACCTTACCCTAGATACTTTCAAGCCTTTGCAAAATAAAATTGTTGTTGTCAATAATGTTTTGAAGACCTTTTAGGAGTGGTTGGCAGATCTGGAGAGGTTCATCAATTATAGTTAAACAGAGCTGTGCATGGTATGAAAAGCAGTATTGGAAACAGCATTCCCAGTCTCCTTGAGGGGTTTCTTTGGCTCTCCCTTGAGCATCACCATCACCATACTTACTCCACCTGCTGCCTTCCCCAGAAATGCAGGCTCTACATGCTAGACATGGCTTGACAAGGAAGGGACTAACAGGATGTAAAAGTATTCCTTGAAGTACAGAAAAGAGACTGTAAAAGAAAAGCCAAGTTAAAAATCCCCAACCCAACTCCTTCCAAGTGTATATGTCATACTTTCACACTAAGTTTGTTTATAATGCAACTTGGCAGCAACATCAAGGACTTGGGGAAGATGGTATAAAGATGAAACAGCATTAGCGAATGTGATTTTACAAAAAAACTGCATTTGGCTTTTCATGCAAAACGTACGTAAAACTTTAAAGATGCTTTAATAAAAAAAAAAAATAATGCAAGCAAAAAGTAGGTCAGTTGTTACAAAACTTACTGATCTCTGTAGATCTACTGGGTACTGGAGGAGGCTGTGTACCATTGCGAGTAGGTGTTGATGATTGAGGGGATATGGGAGAAAAGGGAACCATATCAAAGATGTCAGTGGAGGGTGATTTAGGTGTCACACTGCCTGCCTACAATAAGGACAATAAATATTAGGGCAACGTTTCACATGAAAAAGATCACAATACTGAATTCTTCAGCATGCAGGTAAGTCACATTTTGAAAAAAAAAAAGTTAAAAACAACCATCAGCATGCAAACCCCAGCTCCTGACACCAAGCAAATGGCATTTGCAGTACAGAGTCTGACACATGCTAACACTCCCCAGTACAAAAGCAGCATTGTCATTTTTTCATTTTCAGTTGAAGATGTGTCACAGTTACACCTGACAAAGCTGTGACAAGCAGTTCTCTCTTGCAAACACAGGAGCACAGACACCTTCACGAGACCCAGTCGAGGCAATATGGCAACAACGATGTGCTCTGCTCTGGAGAGCACAGAACCCAGTTAAAAGATACAATCCCAGTATTTTTGGTTTACTAATTCTTCTTTACATGATCTCTTATTTGGCAGCTTAGAGAAATTGGTATGAGCAAAGCTTTAAATGTGTTTTTCCATAACAATCTAGATGTGATATACTGAATATTAATATCCAAAGTAAACCTGTTGTCCTCAAAGATAAAACTGAAGAGATTTCATTCAAAAGGCCCAGGAATTTGGAAGGGTTCAAGAAAATACTGGGCAAGCAAGAAACCCCAAACCCACCAATTACTATAGTTCTACAGCCATATTTGGCTTTGAATGGTTCATTCCTCCTGCCACCAGTCCACTACTTCAGGGCACAAGCAAGGCACAGTCAAGTCAAAATATACTGAACACTGAAGACAGAGGATGAAACAGATTAAAACTGAGACTGACAAGCTGAAGGCAAAACTAGTTTGCATGTACATGTTATTATTGAGACAATGCAGAAAACCCCACACTCTGTGTATTAGAAAGGCCAGCCAGGCACAGCAAAAGCCTGCAGCTTTGAAACAAGATTCAGTTTGCCCAAACTATCCACACAGAATTTTTGAAGCACAAGTTAAATTAGTCACATGGATCCTTTTATTCAGAATACACAAATATGATGGCCTGGCAAGCAGGTAATTCTTAGTACTGCTTGTCCATGAAAGCCCCATGGATGAGCCCTGATTTTGGAATGCTGCTTTCTTCACTGCCTGAGGAAGATTCCTAAACCAAGTCTCCAGGTAGCCCTGAACCACCCCTGTTTCTCTCTGGAGGTTCTCTGCAGTGGCTGCTGAGAAGCAGTATTGATCCACAGCCTTCCTCTGAATGCACTCTTAAAGGAGGAAAAACCATGAGGCTCTCAAGTCCTACATTTCTTATTTCTTTGAGGTTCTGTGATTCTTAGGAGTTTTCAATTCATATTTAAATTTTAGATTAATATTTTAAAATTGCATTATGAGAGATCTGTAACTGTTCAAAATCTAAAAGAACCTGGGGTATTTCTTCCCAGATATATAGAAGCATAGCAAGAAAAAAAAAATCTACATTTAATATGTTGCTTTTATTGTTTTACTTTTTAAAAAAAAATTATCTCAGCTATTCCCAAGCATGACTATAGTTGAATTAACTTCATAAAAGAACCAGTTCTCAAGATTTTAACACATCCAGGACTTTTACTGTCCTCAACTGGAGTCACTAGTGGATTTTCAAAGATGATGTGTTGTGAAAAGATTTCTGTGCAGAGTTTAGACACCACAGGCTCCCATGGGCCTGGCACTAACCCTGCAGAGAACCAGGATAATCCAAGCCTGGCAGATTGCTGGATATTATCTGCTCCCACTCACAGCAGTGCAATGGATGTGCTGGACACAAAATCAATATAATAAAGAGGCACATCCTGCATCTGAACCTTGCTCTGATTGCAGACAGGCTTTTGTCAGCATCAGGAAGGTGGGACCAGGATTAGGGCATAAATAAATGCTTACATCAACCTCCATTTCCATCAGCACCCGTGGGTAAATCCTAGAATGTCCTGGAAATCATATGTGCTAGTGGAGAATCTTATTATTTGCTAAATGTCTATGGCTATCTGGAAGACAGATAAACAGCACTTACATTTAGTTATAAATGTGCTGTTTAGACAGAAAAAAGAAAGCCCAAACTTTAGAGTAATTTCCCACTTACATTCCATTTTGTTGAAGTCATTTACTGCCTATTTTGATTCTACTGATATAATTTAATTAAAACTGTGACTTAAGAAATGTGTATTTTGAATACATATGAGTACAAGAAGCATTTTTATTTAGTGAACACATGCACAAAGCCAGGATGGTCGTCAAATAAAGCCAAATATTACTTGCAAATGGAAGAAAAGTTGAGATATAAGTACATGAATATGAAAAAGGAGGCAATATGCCCATTTCATATTTGAGAATAATTTTCAACCTTCATTTTGCACAGTTTTTGTAAAGTATGCTAAAAGTTATTTAATGGATCATTGCTTTTCTATTAATTCATGGAGGGAAGAGGCCCTTGAAGCTGGACCTTTAGAATTGTTTTGAATGGCTATTCTTCATATAAAAAATTTAATAAAACATTGATAGATATCATTGATGATAGAAATAATTAATTAATGGACTAATTTAAACATGTCGGAAAAATAAGAAGTTTAGTTTTTAGGGATGGGAGAGAAAAAGCTCTGTAGAAATTAGAGTAATTCCTCACAAATTCCATATTTTAAGAGTACCCCTAGAGAACCCAAGATTCATCTGCCCTATCCTTTAGCCACTGTACAAAATGCACATTTTTTTATACAAGTTAATACATAACAGAGAACACAAAACAAAAGCCAAAAATAAAAAACAACACTAAAAAAAAAAAACAAAACTGAAAAAGCTTTTGCACAGCAAGATTACACGAGGTCTTGGGCAGCTGTATTCACTGGCAGGCTTTGGAAGACCACTTTTGGAAGGTGGTGGTATTAACAATCCAGGTGGTAGTCTAGAGTCAGGAGAACTCCTAGGAGTAAGCGTAATGGAAGAGATATCTAAACAAGGAGGTGAATCCTCATTGTTACACCAGAAAAAAGTAGAGGGTCTTTGAAACATATGTTCATCATTATCACACTTTATGTGCAGCAGCTGAAAAGGAATCACAGAAAGAGAAAACATTCTGAGGAGCAGAACGTGGTAACGTCAGGGAAAGAAGAAAAAAAGAAACACATTTCATATTTCAAAAAAGCTTGTCAGCAACTTGCTGTTCAGAGCTACAGTTACAAGATACAGAACTTGAAAATACTTCAAAACAAAATATAAGAATATTCCACATTGAGTGGTAACCCAGTACCAACTGGAACAAAGACAACTTGATCCATGATCATTACACCAAATAAAATGAAGTCAGACATCTTTCCAATAGTGTGTGTGTGTGAGATGCTAAGAAATGTCTAAAGCCAGCAAGGTATCAGCAATCTCTCACATCTGCACTTGTAAATTAGCAGGTAGGCACAAGTCTGGGGAGAAGAGTTACTGTGCTGGTTAATGCACAGGTCAGACTTTTCTCTAAGTAACTGAGGAAAAATCTACCATTTATATCCCACCAATGCTGAAAGAACAGCTCACTCTTAAACTAAAATCTTCAGAGAACAGATTAATCCCTGGATCTTAACAGAAGGGACTGCACACTTGTTGCAGGAATTTCTTCTGGCCACAGCCAAGGAGAAGGCAGGAATGGCACCTGGGCTGGAGGTGTCCTGCCCAAACCCCTGGGACTGGCCCAGGCTGAGGCAGTGGCAGATGAGTGCAGCAGGAATTGTGAAGCTTGTTTTTGCTCCCTTCATAGCGTTACACAATGGATATGTCACGATTATTTCACTAGAAGTTAGCACAACTCAGTAGAGCAGGATTCAGTCAATTATTTTAAATTATTTTTTTAGTGCTATACAGAAAGCAAAATATTTCATATCCTTTAAAAATTTGTCTCAGCTTCTTTCTTCACAGATTAACCTGGCTAAGGGTACAGGTGAATAAATGTAGTAAAAGTGCCATACATGAGAATATCAAAGCAACTCACAAAATTCCCTACTCAAAACTTGCAATTCAGTATTAAAGAAAAAAAAATGGTTTTCATCTCAACTTCAAAAATTTCCATACTGAAATGGTGAAATGGAAGGTTCGGAATGGTAATCAATAAAAATAAATCAAAAAAACCTACAGGAGAGAATTTTAATTATTATTTCAAGGGTACCACCAGACTACAGGCAGAAGAGTTACAGTGCTACTGTGCATTACTGCCATGGAATCCTTGCTGCTATAGATAACTATGCGGAAAAAGAAGCCCTCAGAATAATAAACTCTCAAAAATAATAAATTCAATGCAATTAAAATAAATAAGTGTAATTAAGAAAGCCAAATACTCTCCTGAAATGCAAAACAGCAAAGGATGAGTAGTTTTCATAAGAAGGCATGGATGTGGCAGGAAAAATCACACAGAAAGCAGCAAAATGCACATAGGACACCAAACAGCAAAGCCATGAGGATGATGAACATATATCAAATCCAGGCAATGGAAAAATTCAACACAAAACCAGAACCTACAGCCCTGGTGTCATCTGAGTCCTGAACTGGAGCAGCCATCAGTGGCATCAGTGACACTGAGGACACCACACACCGTGTGAGGTGGTAAGCTTCCAAAACAACAGTTTTGGGGATGCCCCTGCTCAGGAAATGAATTTTCCCTAGGAATTCTTCATTGGCACAGCAGCACAGAACCCACTGGGGGCTGGAGGGCTGCTCTGTGTCTCACTCATGGCCCAGAGGGACCTGCAAGGCTGATGGGATTTCTGCTCACAGCCCACAGGGGCAGCAGTATTCCACAACGGAAAACAGGGAATACCACCAGATGCACAAAGTGCAGGGGGAGAAAGGAAGAGACCCTTACTCTAAAGAATACAACCTGAAAAGGGTGTAGCTTCTGAAAATTAATACTCTTACACCAAATTAGAAAGGAAGAAAATATAGTAAAAATAATTAAATTGTTATTTTATATAGCAACGTTTTGTCTGAGGTTCCCAGTGGCATTGATATAATGTTCCAATTCAGGCCTCATTCCATGAACATAAGAAA